TGAAAACATCAGTGTGTTATCAACATTCTTCTGGTGCTAAATCCAAAACACAGCACTATGCTAGCTACTCTGAAGAAAATTAGCTCTATTGCAGCCGAAACCAGGACAAGCTTAAAACTTACCAGTTTTCATATGCATTCTGAGCCATCACTTGTTTAAAATGGTAACAAGAACCAGCCAGAAAGTGGCATACTTAAACAGAAGGATCTTCATTAAATGCTCTCTGAAAACATAGGCAGAATTGCTGCAGGTTTGTTTGGTTTGTTTTTTGGTTTGGTTTTTTTTTTTGCAATTGCTAGCAGTAAAGGATAGAAACTGAATTCTGTTTTCTAACAGAGGAATGTATTACCAATAAAAATATTCATTAAAATGAATCTTAAAACCTTTTGTTACTTGTATTTCAGTGCCTGGAGACCCCAACAGTGAGAGCACAGCTGGATCTAAGGCTCGCTTAGACAGTAATTAAATTCACAAGGAAGAGTCTTGCTTGATCGGAATGAGTATAAAAGCATACTACAAAGTTAGGTCCATTAAAGAGCTTAATCTATTATTTTCATGCAGATTCTTCCCTTTTTTAGGAGCCACTTGGTAACTGCATTATAGAAATGTTGCTCTCCCTTTTTCCGACCTAAGATCTCACCGTGGGCAGGGGTATTCCTGTAGCACCCCCCAGTGATAACGCAGGCTCTGGTTTCCATGCCAACAAGCCGTTTCCTGGAAGTGGGTAGGGGGCTTGGGGCTTGTTGCTGCTTTTTAATTAATCAAACCCCAGAAACAGAATTGACGGGGGTTGGTTTGGCTTTATTGGAAATATTTCTGCCACATAACACTTTATAGCTAACGCAACTGTTTATGTCAGAATTGGAAATGCTAATTACGTGTAGAAAATACGTAATAGGTTGCACCAGCAGTTAAATTTGGTTTGCAATTACAAGATCTAAACTGACTTATACATACTTAAATACTGAGATTTAATTCTGAGGGAAATATAATGAAGCAATCTGTTAATTTCTTTTTCAGGTTACAGATTGCTTGCTTTATTAATTTTTCCCCAGGATATTTGGTTCTAAGTTTCTTTTTCAGGTTACAGATTGCTTGCTTTATTTTCCCCAGGATATTTGGTTCTAATAAAGAATAAAATGTTTCTGGTTTTTACTGGGTATAAAATTAGTGATGTATAACTGAAACAACATTAAGGAAACTGTGTCTCTAGTAGTAACACTGAGGCTATTAAAGTCAGTTGGATCCTGTGTTACGAAAACTTTCACACAATAGCTGTGGTTCTAAAAATAGTGCTGCTGGCTAAAGAAAGGATTTAAATTCATAAAGAATGCAAGTATATTGGTTTTTAAGAAGCCTTTTTTTTTTTTTTTTTTTTACTGTGTTGTGTGAAGCAGCCGTCTATTCAGTTTTACAATGATTAAATAAGTTAGCATCTCCTGGCTTAATGTTTCCAAGTGACTATTTCATAAGGACGTTATGTTAAGACTGTGTGTTGGAGTAAAGGGAAGTAGGAATGCCAGTAGCTGTGGTTCTCTAGGTAGATTAAATACTGCAGTAGGGTGGAAAAATACAAGGATGCTACTAAATTACTGTTGTTGTTTGGTAGTGTAATAGTAACAGAAGTCGATCGTGGATCCCACTGTGAAATGAAGGGCAGAACTTTACTGGGTTTTTCGCCTCCATTTAATTTGTGCCCTGTACAGGTCCCATTGCCATAGAGTCCTGAAACCTGCAGGAACCACTTGTTTATCTACCATCTGCTTAAACGTTTATTTAAAGGACCACTTTCCTCAATTACTGAGAATAAAATAATTTGCCCATTGAAGGTGTAGTTATGTAGTTAATTCTTCTCCATAGGCCATCCCTAAGGTAGCCACGTCAGACGCCTCCCAGTCCTTGCTTGCACCAGCATCCTCCTTTGCTCACTGTAGTCTCCACTCCTAAGTCGCCATGAAAAGCCTGAGAAATGCCATCATTCTTCTGTTAGCATTAACAACAGCAAAAAAAAAAAATCATAGTTAACTTCTCAGCACTTGTAATACCTGAAAATTTCATAGCTGCCCCTCCGACACTCACCTTGCAGTCTTGGTAGCCTGCTGGTACCTTCCCGGCTCACCCCTTCACCATTTGGCCGCCAGCCTTCCCTGGGTCCTGGGCGAAGCTGCCTACCCCCCCCCACACACACTTCCTTTTCGGAAACGGTGCTGCCATGCGAGACAGCACTGTGAGAAAGGAGAGGTAAAGTTGCAGGCTGAAGTCAGAATTGTTGACAGAGCAATTTACTGGTAGCTCAAGGATCCGAGAGTAAAGCATGAGCATGAAAAGGTAGAAAATGAGGAACAACTGAAGGTTGTCAAGCCCGCAGCCGGCAGTCGATCAGGCTGTGGGTGTTGACGGCGTTGGTAGATTTGGTGCGTAAGCACAGTTCGGCAGTGCCCGAGGTCTGCAGCTCTCTCCTCATGCCGGCTCCCCCGTCCCCACGATGCTGCCTGGTCAGCAGTGGCTCTTCAAGCACCTCACCAGGGTACCAGCACGCTGGAGCTTAGCCGAGCAGCTCAGTAAGCCCTGCTGGTCTCGTGCGCCGGTGTGAGAAACAAGAAATACCCACTTGGTACCTGTATGTGTCTTGCTTGCAGAGCCTTCATGTGTGGCTACAGATGGCCAAATGGCTCAAGCAGCAACAGATGTCTGCGTTTTATGGCAAAACCAGTCTCTAGGTAGATGCAGGTACGTTGTTATATGCTGGCTGAAGCAGAGATAAGCATGCAGCAAATGTCCTTGATGCTACATATGGGTATCAATGCTACAGGTCAGGTAATTCAGGGAGATAAAAAAAACCTGACTGCTATGTACAGGTCATAAATTTGCAGTGAAGTTGATCACTTACAAAGTTAAGAAAGTTTTGTTTGTACACAAATGGAGACAAAAACATGCTAACTGTGAAATTTAAAGTTAAATGTACACCAGAAGTGCTACTGGTACCCCTAAAAGAAAAGGAAGAAAATCTTGGTATTTCATTTGCAATAGCATACCGATATGCCCCTGTGCTAGCAGGAAGAATGAAAACGCATGCTGGTTTTGCATTTCTCATCTTTTGAATTTAGGTGGGTAAGCTTCAACTCTTTTTTTTTTTTTATATGAAAAAGGGTGACAAAAAAAGGCAATACTCCTTCAGATTGTCTAATGGAGGTGCCTGAGGGAAGATCAGGTCAGGCAGCATGCTACCTTTTAATTAAATTCAGCTGATCATGAGGTGAAAAAGGGCCTACCTACATACTGGAGAAAATGTTCAATATATGTCATTTTAGGGGAGATACTATTTAGCAGTGATGAAAACTGTGTGATTCTTAATATCACCCAATGCCTAATAAGGGAAGGCTTCTGCAGTTCTGTGTCTGTCTGTCCTGTTCTCTCACTCTACCCCAGTAACTCAGGAATCCGTTAGCTTTACCTAAACTTGATAGAAATTTGATAGAAAGTTAAAAATCTCAAAATCCTTATAAAATGGTGTGGCTTAAGGAGATTGTATGAAGCCCTCTACAGGTGTTACTCTTACGAGGAAAGAAAGAAGCCTGAAGGAGAGGATCAGGCTGAAGGATCGGCAGAGGGAGAGTGGTGCATGTGTGTGTTTGGGAATGCCCCAACCACAAGGAAAGCTTTGCTGGGTGCTTAGGAACAAGGAGAAGTCACAGGGCTGTGGGCAAAAGGGCTTCGCTCCTCCACTGCTGCAGCTGTGCTGACTTCTTCAGCTGCTCCAATGCTGTAATGCAGTCCCATGGTGCCCCCTCAAGCCAAGCTCAACACGCTGGGGTTTCAGATTGATTTCTTGCTGTGGGTTGAGGCGGCAGCAGAGCAGCTCCTGCTGGGTTACTGGGACAACCCTGTGATGTCATCTTTGCAAAATGCATCAGATCTATAGATTGTCATGCCATCAGAGGGAGGCACTGAATGAACTAGTGATGTTTCACTTGAGAGCGGTAGCAGTGTTGCTCTGCTGAAATTGTGCAGGGGCACTTGACCATCTGTGTGGAATGGCAGAGAAACACCAACTTACCAAGGTGCAAGTTTAGCTGCAAGCTTTTCTTTTTAAAATTACTGATGTCGCACACAAGAAACGAGGTTAATGAGAAGCGTGGTTA